CCCCTCCCCTTCGTCAGGGGAGTTCGGTCCCAGCCTAAGGTCCCACATCAGCGGGTATCGGCGGGTATCGCTGATAAGACAGAATTTTTTGTTACCGGTCGGAATCCGTCGGAGATATTTTTCGTGAAAAATATTTCGCCGAAGGCTGGGATCGAACTCGACACCTCTCGCACACTAGACAGACACGCTCCTTTTTTTTTGTTTAACCAAGTTTTTTATTCATTTTTACAAGTGTTATTTACAATATTTACAACTATTTACATAAAAAAAACTGGTATATAAAAAAATTGGTCTATTTTATTTTGGTTTATAGACATTGTTCACTCTGTGACGGTCGCGTTTAACTTATTCTAGAGTTTTGTTTTGAATTATTTGTTATTCTATTTTTGAGGATTTTGAATCTCTACTTCATTTTGAAGTTTCCTTTGTATTTTATTTTGTGTGCGCTTGAAAAAAAAAAGAGAAAAAGGCTTTGAAAGAGGGAAAAAAAAGAAAAAAGGGAGAAGAATGTTTTTATAATGTGAAAAAACAAGCGCAATTAAGTATTAACAAGGAGTGTAGTGTATTTTTTAATGTGAATTTCATATATTCTTCATTAGAAGAGTGATTGTTGTTCCTTTTTTATCCTTGTTTTATATATTTTTATTATTATTATTATTATTCTTATTATATTGTATTGTAATTTTTTTTAAGTAATACTGAATTATTTTATCAGTTCCTTTTTTTTTTTTATTAAGGCGGTCTAAAGTTGTGCCTTTGACCTCTATTTTGGCTTCTGTACCCATTATTATTTTTATTTTTGTACATTTGATATCTATTTTGGAGTTCAAACATGAATTTATCGTTTTGGTCTAGCCACCAATATTTTTTTGTAATTCGATAAAAATCCTCGATATCAGTTTCTGGAATTTCTCTGGAGTATTTCAACTCCCTGTTCAGGAACTCGTCGACTGCGATTTTGTTATTTTTTTTGTGTCTTGGGAAATGGAAAAGAATTGGTATATTCATTTTATCTTGGAATAGACCGATCTTATCGTATGATGTAAAGTATTGTGGTTTAATATTTCCACATCTGGCCCTGCCAAGTGCTTCTTGGTTATCATAATTCGTTAGTAAGTTTATGGTGTCGTTTTTTATCGATTTTAATTTCTCGTAATAATTTCTTGCTAATTTGAGCATGAAATTATCGATTCTGGGAATATTAGCTTGATCACAGAGGTATTTATTCTTGACTTGGTGTTGATAGTTTGAGTGCTCAGACCTGTATAAGAATAGTGAGGTTCTGAGGCACTTTCTCTCGAAGACTCTTAGGGTCTCAGCTTGGTGGGCCCCCATATTCCATAGAATTTCAGCCCCGTAGGTTAATAGCGGTCTTATTAATAATAAATAGCATATAACACTTGCTATTTTGTTTATATGTTTATTGTGGAATAAAAATCCTAAGGATTTGTATCTTTTCCTCGCTTTTTCTATTTGAATGTCTGTGTTTGGAGCAGCGTAATAATTCACCGATATTGATTCCAAGATATTTCACGATGTTTTTATGAGGAATTATTGTTTCAGTATTAGTTGATTTGTGACAGACACGCTACCGACTGCGCCAGAGTGCCCGACAAATAATCTAATTATTATTTATCAAATCACACTACTCTAAAATCATTATCTAATTATTCCAATGACAGAATGATGATTCACTAGATCGCTGTAGTGCTAAAAGACGCCAGAAGAAAATCTCAGAAATTTATCTGTCAAGGAATTTTGTTATCTGTAAAAACGGCCCGATCACTTTTTTTCTACAGTCGTTGATTTGTTGATAATGAATATCAGAAATATAACGATACATTCCTGAAATGTATTCTCAACTCTCTGAAAATATGATCCCATTGTTCGAGGACCCCTATTTCACCTATACAATCATTCCTTTATTTAGAATGTGACGAAAATATTGATCCGCTGTGTTCTATCCATCGGAATGCATCATCATCGGAGTGGTGGTAAAAATAGAAAATAGTGATCAAGGATGATGAGAAATTTTTTCAAAAATTCTGTGCCATTGAGCGAATCGAATATTAGCCACAATTCTCTGGGGATATTTTGTTTCAAACATATACTCCCAATTGAGAGGGTACGTCAATGCATTTCTACAGGGAATCGACGCCCTATTTCACGGCATGCATATACAAAGCAGAGCGCTGCAAGTGGAAAATTTGCATCGATTTCTACATAGAAAAATAAGCTGAAAATTATAGATTACAAGTTTAGTTTTGCAATTAGTAACGAAGGTTTCCAGACGTGATAAAATATCTCAATCATTCATTATAAGTGAATAATTAATCATTCGAGTAGTTATATTGATCACTTATTTTTTTGGGATTAAATGATGACCAAAAGAAGAATTCAACGAAGAATCATCGTCAAAGTAGGAGTATCCGAACGAGTATGAGTACCTGAACGCATTCTACTAATTATGACTTATTTCTAAATTTTTATACAGTTTCCCTCCCTTTTTTTACTCTCAATTAAATTATGGTAGAAACAGAAAATTATAATCTGTTCGACCCAAATTCAATTTTCCAGATTTAAAATAGGGATCTTTTTATAATTTCAATTTTGTGATGGACTGCAGTGACACGACACCTTCAGGCGCCATCTCTTAACCGAGTTGGTTAGAGACACTGGACTGTGTTAGCGTGTGTCGAACGGAAAATGTAGGCAACAACTAAATAAAATCATTATTTACGGTGAAGAAACGCATCGATTACCGACGTCCAATGGTCGCGGTGGCTAAATCGTTAGTTCGGCTTGGCCACTAGGAAGTCGTGGGTTCGAAACCCAGTCCGGTCGGTTTTTTTAACTTCTGGAAACAGGGGTTGGGGGCTTGAAAAGGGGCTCGGCTTCGGATCCGACTGGGGGGGACCCTTAACTTCCGGTAAAGGGGTTAAGGGGCTCGCCTGGGGCGGATTCTGG